GATTAGACATTTTATATAAAGTGTCTGATCAAACCTGTTGAACCTCGCTTTTTATTTAATTATCCGTTCTGGTCTACCATTAAGCAATGTATATATATATATGTATATATATATATACACACACACCATTGTGAGGTTCCACGTGTGTTCATCATTCATCAATAAAATATATTTATCACCTTAATATGAACTTAAATATTCCTGGTTTAGGAACATGATATATTTTAAAATCCCACGAAATTTGAAATTTCCATAAAAAAGATACATTTCAAACTTCTTCTATATGGTAATATATTTCTGAAATTTTTTCATAAATCTTCACAAACACCATATTACAAAAATATCTTGAATGAGTTAATAGCCTGGTATGTCTTCACCAAATTTACTGATATGAGCAGCACGCTTCATAGGGATAACAATCTAAGAAAAAGAAAAAAAGTACAGATAATGTAAAAAAAATACAGACAAATTAATATAAAACCTTTTATCTTCTGTCACAGTTTATTTTCTAATCACAGTTTCAATAATACCACAGGACAGACATCATCTGGAATAATTTGGTAGGGCATTGCAACCATTTACCTGTCAGACTTAACAGCCCAATGTCTGATGACAACTTGTCAGATATTTTATACTGGTTTCAGATATAATATATATTTAATCAAACCAATGTTTTACAATTTAATATTTTTTGTTGTTTGTCAGCAAGACTTGACAGCCCAATGCTTTACTGTACATTGCAATCATTTATTTATCAGTTAGACTCAACAGCCCAATGTCTGGTGGAACTTTGCCTGATTGTTGGTTTCAAATATATTTGATTAAACAAATGCTTTACATTTCAATCATTATATGTCTGTAAGACTAAACAGCCCAATGTCTGATGGCACTTTGTCTGATTAATAGATTCAGATATATTTGATCAAACAAATGTGTTACGTTGCAATCATTAATTTGACAGTAAGACTCAACAGCACAAGGTCTGTTGACACTTTGAGATTGCATGTTGGCTTTATAAACATATTTTATCAAAAAATAAATATTTTACATTGTCTGTTGAAAGTCAAAAAATGTTATTCCACTACAAATTTCAGTGGCAGCGCCAGCAATGGTTCAGCAGGACCCGAGGAAGTTTGACCTCCTGTCAGGGACATTGAATCCTTTGCTTGGGAATTCTCTTTCACCATCACTGGTACAATATCTGATATCATCTAGCAATGTCTGCTGTGACTGGCAAAAATCTGATTGTTTAAACTCTATCCACGCTATAAAATTTTATATGACAAACAAGTATGATATGCCCATATTTGGGTGAAATATAACATCAACATGCCCATAAATGGGCATATCACACATATGCCACATAAAATTGTATAGTGTAGACAAAGCTTAAGCTTAGGTCAATCAAATACAGTCAAGCAAATTTGTACTAGTATTACACCTACTCTAATCCTATGTAATTATACGAGAAACATTAAAAGCTGGGAGAAACAATTTTGTTAACAGAGCAGAGATGACAAGATGATTCATACTGAGTAACAAGTTAAACACTGTATGTTGGATGGAAAAATATAGAAACATGTTAAAACAAGAATTGTATAAAATGGATTGTGGCTTATAAATTGTAGCCAATGGGACAGACATAAAGGGTTAAGGGTATGATATCATGGTGTCATAGATTTCAGACACAAGCAGCAGAATGTTGTATTGAGGAGGAAATCACATTAAACCTGAGCAAAACTATCATTTGTAGAAACTGCATTCAGGACCACAGAACTTGTTAAGATCTATATTAACGCCTATATCCATTTCTAAAGAACTATTTGAAGTGCATTTTCACTGGTCATTGAGATCAACAATCAAATCAAATCAAATATACTTTTATTTTCCATACAATAAAGTAATACAATATACAATAAGAATGTTAAAAATTAAAACAAATACATTGTATGGAAGGAGGCTACAGTAAATTCAACAAGAGCTTTAAAATGTAGCCACCTTAAAAAAGGTTGGAAAAATGACTGGTACCATTGTTTAGTTTTATCAGAACTAATAGAATCATAGAAATGATATACCAATAAAATTAAAATAATTCCAATCCAGCTTTGTATTCTTATTTTTTTTAAATATTTTGTTTTTAAAACACAAAACATCAAGACCAACAACACACCCTTTGTTCCCTGGGGGAGTACATGCATGTAGTTTCAGCACTATCATTCCAAATCATTAACCTGATACCAGGTACCAATTTATATTCCTGGGTGAAGGGAAGCAAATGCTGATAGACGAGCATTAGTCTAAAAAATAACAACCTTTTGATAGAAAGCCCAAACACCACTGCGGCAGAGGCTTCCGTAAAATGTTTGCATCAATTACACACGTACAACAATGCTATGATTAAGTTTAATCGTTACCTGATTGTGCACGTAGGAGTCGCATCCATAACACCACACTGACAGATCAGCGTAACTGAGCACCATGTTGTGGCCGCTCTCTTCCCCATGTTTAACCATGTGACATTCAACATATCGTCCACACAAAACCTACAGAAATATTAAGAACAACCAATTCTGTAATCTAAAATATAGTTGTATTTATTAAACTGGAGGTGTGGACTGCTCGTATAGTCACTGGCTTAAACCCTTAAGCAAGGGAGGCGGGGGGGGGGAGGCAGGACCCTCCATTGGGGAGAGCTGGCCCACCTGTTTTGGAGAAAAACCACAATTTGTCATGGACAAAAATAATATGTATTTTCTACATATCAGTTGGCTCAAAATTTGATTTAATAAGCATTTGAGGCCCCTAAATTGTCAGTTTTCTGGGGCCTCGTCCATGGACCACTTTCGTAAGATTTTAATAGGTGACTGACTACACCCACTTTGATCTCGTAGGGGATATCAGCCCCTCATGGAGTACCTCTGACTCCTCCGTGCATTTGTTATGTGGCTATAAACAATTTACTGACATAATTGCAAATATAATAATTCCTAAAATCGTTTGTGTTGTATGTTATGTATGATTTAAAGCTTTGAGAATGTCTTTGTGTATGTGAAAAGTGTGCATCAATTGAGTTTCAGTCACTGAATGATATAAAATATAAAATTTTTAAATGTATATTTTTTTTTTGACTGATAAAACATCATTATAGCATTGGTTACTGTAAATGTTTTCTTAATAGTACAAATATTTTTCATTTAATTACAGTATTTAAACACATAAACAATGACTTTTTCTCACTTTGTAACATTCCAGGCACACCCAGTTTTCTTTTCTGTCACCGCATTCAAGACAAGGTTCATCTACATGAAGCCCGTCCTCTGGAAGAGGAGTAACCGCTTCAAGATGAGGACACCAGGTCAGGGGAACCACTGCAAACAACTGAAGCTGTAATGAGGGGGTTTCCCCAAGAAAGGCAAAGAGAAGTAAAGAAAGACAAAAAAGGAATTCAATAAAAGAAATTGGCAAATGGGCCATATTGCACAAAGGGATCAACACCTTAAACGTGTCATCCAAAAGACAGTGCTCAACGGTAACTTGCATTTCCGCCCTCCAGCAGAAATACAAGGAGAGCAGCGATGGGAATTGAACCGGAGACCAAACAATTTCTACGGATCAGCGCACACACAGTGGCTACCACCAGTTTAGCCAACTGAGTAAAGCTGCTCCAAGCAGTAGAATTCAACATTCAGTTAAAAATTCAACAATTATCTATTAATAAAAATAAAATGTGTAAATGAAAAAAATTATAAATATAGCAATTATTGTGTTTTAATACTCAATATATGTTAATGAAAAGTCTACAAAGCAATTGTGCATACAAGTAAATGCAATTAATTCATAATGAAAAAAAACTTAAGAAAATCTAGAGAGTACACAAAGTGGTCAGGTTGTAGAGGAGCCAGAGATTAACTGGATTTTCTATGGTTCAATGTCCAGAAGGGTAAAATTTTTCACATAAAAAATATCACTTATGCACAAGTTTCTCCACACTAATCAAGTACCATACGATTGACAATCATCAATTTATGAACAATATCAATAAATAATATAGTAAATAAAAAGGAGTAAAATGTACCAACATACATCATCTCCTGCTACATTTCCTAGGAAGTCTTTGACAGTTCCAACAGTTCCAGACTTTACTTCACCACCAACTGCTCCAAGATCTTCTTCAACTTCTTTTGAACTTCCATCAGGTTGTGTCTTGTGTAATGATTCATCAGGAGATTGATTCTTGATCTCAGCTGCTTCTGGAGATTGAGGCATGTCAGAGGAACAGGAGTAAAAGCTGTCATCCGGACAAGCAGTGGATGAGACGGACATTTCAGATGTTGACTGGATAAGGTCGTCGACAGAGGTGTCGCTTGCAGATGCTGCCATCAAATGTCTAGTGGTGGAATCACCTCCAGCAGCACTATCTTGAAAATCTTCTGATTGGCTTTAAGTAATCAATGGAATAATTATTTACAAAAACCACCACATAGTATAGTAAAAAAGAATAGCCACCTTACACACTTTAATCTAAACATAATTGTTAATAATACACATTTAAAGCTACCACAAAATACACTTTCTAACCCTTAAGGTCTTAAAATTTGGAATTACATATTAACTTACTTGTCTTGACTTGAAGGTTTATATGGTAGCAGTCCTAGAAAATAAATTAGATAAAGTAAACCTTTTTTTCAAACATCTATGTCATCATTGAATCTATGTCATCATCATTGAAGT